AGGGACCTAATTCTCCACGTCAGCAGGCTTGGTTTTCCTATATTGGACAGGAGTCATTTCTTGTTCATGTCGTTTCAGATACAGCCAGGCTGATGCCCTCAAGTATGTGGGCATCGAAAGAGAAATGGAAATCCCTTGACATCACTACCTCTTCCCCTCCTCTCTGAAACAGCTGCCTTAGCTTCAGGAACCTTGAGTACTGTGGGCAATTTAGAAAAAGAAAATGCAGTTTGAAATTCTGAATTTGCAAAGTACTGTAACAGTAATTTATAGCAATGAGTTTAAAATCGACTTTTTATTGCCTTCTTACTAGCTGCAAAGTGTTTTGTACCAGTGAATTTTTGCAATAATGCAGTGTGGTACATTTTTCAACTTTGAATAAAGAATACTTGAACTTGTTGTTGAGTCTCATGTCATAGAGCGTCGCCAGCTGATTCCAGAAAGACTACATACAGGGGGAAAACTTACAAGCTTTGATTTTCCAGTTGTTTTAGTAACTATTAAACATACCTGCATAGCATTTGTCTAGATACATTGTTACCCTTGTCTTTTAGGCTTGAGTGAACTGCACTGGTGTGGGTTCTGGACATTCAGCAAGGAAAGTGAGTCAGCAGATGGTTTGTAACCTCCAGATCTGCTGTCCAGATGATTGTGGCGAACTAGGTTATTTCTAAGAACGTATACAGCTTAAATTCTATAGTTCAGACATGGTTATAGATGCTGGCAGGCAGGTAAGTTTGTGTTGGGGATACCCAAACCCAGCCTGGCCTGCCTGGTGAAATGGTCTCTGGAGACAGAAGACACACATCAATAATCTGGTCATAGTTTAAATCTCCAAGGGACTTAAAATAGCCCCCTCCAAATCCCTGCTGGGGACCAGAACTTTCTTGGCAGTTGGCCAGAGCAGCACAGCAACTGCTACAGCTTCAGTGTGGAGATGTTCACAACAGTTCTCGGGTTCATAGTTTTAATACCAAGTTAACATTTTCTAGAGTTAGATATGCCTTTTATTTATAAAGATACTTTAAAAACCTTCACTTCCACATATACTAAAACTTGCTTTGTTAATTTCCAAGATCGTTTCTGATCATATCAATTCATAAGGCATTGCAACTTGAACCTTTGATTGATTGATGTAGGTTAGGAGGGACTCCAGCCGCTGCCCATGGCTGCTGCTTGTTCTATACTTGGCACTTGCATGGCTTGCCCTGGGCAAAGTAGGTAGCCATATTTAGCTGCTGAGGTGGATAACACCTTCTTTTAGGCAATTTCTTCAAACAGGCAAACGGAGCACATCTGTTTAGTATCATATGTTCAGGGCCCCGGAGAGTGCATGGGATCAATAGTATCTACTGACGTAGCTCAAATGGTCATGGTTCTCATCTCCAGATGTCAAAGGCAGGAAGGAAGGGTTCAAATTGCAGAGCTCCTGATGTGGCAGACACAGGTCTTATTAGTAGAGATTTTGCAAAACGTGTAACAGTCCAAGTTGGCCTGAAACTAGCTGTGTAGCTGAGAATAACCTTGAACTTTTGAGCCTATCTCTCAAGCGTTCCAGTTACAGGAACTCTTTTTTGTTGTTAAAAACAAATAGAAGCCTACTTTTAATCCTGATTTAGTGTGTGCGGGTACACTGTGCATGCAGAAGTCATAGGGCTGTTTTCAGGGCTTGGGGCTCTTCCATATTGTGGACCCTTATTAGGCCTGGCAGCAAGTGCTTTTACCCACTGAGACTGCCCTCTCGTTGGCTCCATTTGATAAGCTTCAATTCTAGATAAATCTAGTCAGCTTGAAGCTCATGTATAGTGTACAGAGCTGATGCATGGGTAAGCCAGCCTGCAACCCCTCATCCAGACTGATGACCGTGAAAAGCACCATGTCATTGCTGCCAAACCAGGATATTCTATAGTTTATATTAAAAAGTAGTTATTTACCTAGAAGCACTTGTTTTTCAGTACTGAAAATCACCTTATCTCTAACTTTTACATGTCTGACAATATCTGCCCAAGTGTTTGGCCACTGCTATGAAGACTAACACATTATGTGATTAGTTTGTGACAGGTTGTCATCACGACAGTCTGGATGTGAACATTCTGAAATAACTTAAGCATTCTCTTAATTTTGTCTAGAATTGGAAAAACAAGCTTGTTTTGGTCTATGTGGGTAGGTATTATTAGAGACAGTTCCATGCTCACTGGTTAGACAAATTAAGGTCTCAGTTACCCTGACAGCTATGATTGGATTTTTTTTTAACTCTAAATCTATGTTTATAAAAGTAGGCAGTGATGTTCAATAAAGAATAAACACTGTAAAATGTTTAAATTTCAGAAGCCTGCTGGTTCAGTAGTCACTGTTCTCATCCCTTTTTGGAGCAGGTTTTCAAGTTCCCAGTGGCAGTGACCCACTATGCTATGACCCCTTGCCTGGTGGTCTCAGGTATGTCCCCCACCCCCAGCTCTGTCAGTAAGAAATGGCTATTTCCCCCAGCCCTGTCAACTGTTTTAAATTAAAAGCCCAACTCTTTAGACCACTAGGTTCATGTGTAGCAGGGGACAAACACGGTCCACACAGGAGGGTGTAGATCTTGCCTTTTTATTCATCAAGCCTAAATAGTAGTTTTGCATACTGACCACCCTTCCCCTGACTTCTGTCTCATAAAAATCTCACGTCCACCACAATTTCTTGGGCCGTCTGTGTGGCCTGGGTTTCAAGCCCTTCTGAGCTCAGTAGTAGGTCACACAGCTGAGGAGTGATTCCTCATTCCTGAGACCCTGCACATAGCCAACAGTTCACACATATAGGGCAGCCCCATACATAGCACTGGGATTAATCTGCCTTGTGTGCATAGGTGCTGGGATCCTAAGGCTGCACAGGAGGCAGAGGCAGGCAGATCTGAGCTCCAGGCCAGCCAGGGCTACACAGTGAGACCCTGGAGAGGAGGGAGAGCAGGAGGGGAAGAGGGAGAGAGAGCAGGAGGATTGTAAGAACAGCAGTGGGGAGGGAAGGTCAGGAGCTGGAGGGAGTTTAGGGAAGAGAAGGGCTAGGATGTTAGCTTGGACTTGAAATGTGCCAGGTGTGAGGGAGCCTGGGGCCACCATGAGCGCAGATGTCCCCTCCACCAGAAGGGCAGTGACTCATCTTGATAGAGGGAACCAGCTTCACAAGTTCCTGAGGAACGCTGGCTTTTGTCTAAGGGCCAGAAACCCTCCTGACTATAGTTCTGGGTATTTCGACTGCCTTTTGGAGTTTGGAAATTGGAGTTTTCTTTGGACCTAACAGATTGTTTTTTTTTTTTTTTTTTGGGGGGGGGGAGATAGGGTCTCCTATGTAGCCTTGGCTGATCTAGCACTTGCTATGTAGACCAGGCTGGCCCTGAATTTAGAGCTCTCCTCCCTATAGCCTCAAAGAAGGTAACCGTGATAAAACAACCCAAAGTTGACTTAGAACAGAGCTTACAGAGGGTTTACAGTTCTAGAAGGGTAAGAGTCCACCAGGGTCAGACCGGCAGCAGAGCAGAAAGCTAAATGAACTCACCACTGTTCATTACCAGCAGTCTAAGATTCAGGTTGAGCCCACCCTAGCCCAGCCCACGGTGCAGTTTTATTTTTGTTTTCTTGAGACAGGGTTTCTCCGTGTGTAGCCTTAGCTGTCCTGGAATATTGGCCCATCTGCCTCTGCCTCTTGAGCATCAGGATAAAGGTGTGCGCCACCGCATCCCCTCTTTAAGTGGGTCCATGGTGGTTTTAGAGCGTGTTTGTCTCAAGACAAAAACAAATTGTTAAAAGGGCAAGCAAGCTGTGAGTGTCATTCAGTATGTAAACTAGCAGGGGAGTTTTCAGGTCTCTGGAGCCCTGGGGCCCTATTTAGAGTAGAGGGAAGGGAATGAATGAATGGGGTGACTGGTTCACGTGCTTTTACCTGGCTTCAATCTTAGTAAAACTGTTTAAAAGTAGACATACTAAAAGGCATGGAAGGATGGGGCATGATGGGGCAGGCCTGTAATCCCTAGCACTAGGGAGACAGGCAGGATCAGGAGTTTCAGGCCTGGGATGCCAAACAAAGTGAAGGGCTAACAACATGACTCAGTGGCACAGAACTGCCTAACATGCAAGACAGGGATTGATAACTACAACTGTGTCTTCTGCCCCAAAATTAAAACATGGGAACTTGAGTGCATTCAGTGCCAGGCTGTTCTGAGCTACTTGCTTAGAATTTAGCATAGGAAGGATTGGTAAGGGTGGCTAAGCTGCTGCTTGAGAACCCCTAAGGCATCCTTGTATGAGAAGAATGAAACCAAGAGCACAGTGCCGAGACAGAAGATTCTATCCCCTCCTCTGTGTTCCTCTCACCCTTTGGCCAGGAAATGGAGACGGGAGACAAAGGTCAATGCCGTGCCTTGTGACAGAGCTTCTGGAGGTCTGAGGAACTCCTTGGACTAGACTGGATCTGAGGAGGATGAGAACCTTGAACCTTGGCCTGGGCCCTCCTTCAGAGGGCAGCCTGGGGTGAATATGGCAGCCTCCTTAGAAAACTTCACTAGGAGGTACCCGAGATGAGATTCTCAGTTCTCATGCAAAAGCATCCTCCCTGCTGACCCATAATTCAGATGCTTTGACTTCACAGTAGCCTCACAGAGGAGAACTGCCACCTGAGTACTGTGGAGCAGGAGACCGGGAGGCCACACGCCCATGTTGGTTCCGCTTCTGTATTCCAGCTCTGCTTCCTAGTGGTCAGCCCAGCTTCTACACCAGTCTCGGTATCCACTTAGTCCCTGCTGCTCAGCAGTAGCAGTCTGGAGTCACAGCTCTCATGGCACTGAGAAAGTCTTAGGAAAAGGGTCAGTGCCCAAAAAGATCAGGGGCCTTAAAAATTAAGATCTTCATTTTCAATCCAAAGAATGCAGCTCCTTTGGATTCCAGGAAGACACTGGGGATATACACTTGCACAATCATTAAATCTTTTATTTACATATAGAAATTAGTAAAACTTAAAACCAAATGCAACTTGTACAGAAATCCTTTAATTTTCTTTATTTTCACACATTAAAAAATGAAACACACTATACAAATGGTTTCCATAGCAGATTACACGTGGGTCCATTCAGACTCGCTCTCATGTGCTGCCTCGGATGGCAGCATTAGCCAGGGAGCCAATGTACTGATTGAAGTGCAGTAGCATGCAGCCTCAGCATGGGAGGTTCGGTTCCCCTCTGTCCGTAAGTTAGGGAAAATGGCGTTGGCGTCTGTTTAGACTGAAATGTGTCAGTCCTGAGCAGTCCGGCTGTAGCCTGAGACCAGCTGGTGGGAACCGTGGTCTCAGCTTTAAAAAGGGAGGTCCAAATGGCGGCAGGCTGGCTGCTATGAACTTGAGTTGTTTCCATTCTAGTCACTGGAACTATATGCTGTGGGTCGCAGACCCTTTTAGAAGGGTTAGGCCAAGTAACTGTAGGTGTCCTTCTCACCATCGACTCGCTCCAAATACTCCTTTTCGATGAGAATATCAATGCATTTCTAGACATTATTTTAGGCGTAAGAGGGAATGAAGGGGGAAAGAAACACAAACAGCCATCAGGACAGAGGTGCCACCCTCCACTGAGCTCAGCACCTTCTGCTTAGGAGGAACTTCACTGTTTCCTGCCTGCAGTCCTTCAGTAACTCCCGCTAAGACAGCAGCCAAGTGCTGCAGCATATCTAGGCTACAATTTCCTTTCCTAACAGTCTAACTGCCTTTGGGCAAGGTTCTGTGCCTTTATGGGACATCAGAAGCAGGACCCGAAGGACATACTAGCATTGTGCTAATAGGTCCCTCAGATATTTTGGGCCTCCTGGACTATTGAGGACTCACCATCTACTTCCACCCTTTGAGGCTCTCCAATGGCTGAGGCTTACTCAAGTAGTTCAGAAAAGGAAAGACCTGCCGATTATGGCCAGCAGAAACTAGGCAGGTGAGATTATCAATGCCCTAGATACAGGGTAGTACATTCATACACCACAACCCCTGCACAGCAGCAGATGAACAAGCCTTTCCTAATAATGCAACCCGGCCCTCCTACTGCCAGCAGTCTCTCAGCAGTACGGCAGAGAGCATCCTCTCTCCACTACTTCCTAGCGAGCAAACCAGCCAAGGCTGAATTATGGCTCACAAAGTGGGATAGCTAATTGCCACAGAAATGTAGGCATAGGGGAGGACTTCTTTTTCCTTATTAGGGTGTCCACTACAAAGGTGTACTCATTGACCCATACCTCTCTATATATTTATTTCAAGAAGATAGGCTGACTTTCCTTTGTTGAAGTTTCTTGTTGAGTAAGCCACCAGTTCCCATTTTCATGAAACAGTGATTAATTCTTTTGCTACATCTTTCCTAACATGAGAAGGGATAACACTGTAATTCCTGTACCTTGATCACTGGGACCCGAGGTTTGAACCTGGAGGAGAGCTGAGTGAGGACTTCACCAAGTAACTGCTGGTGTTTCAGGACCTTCCTCATTTTCATGATTCTCACGATGGCCGCCTATGCAGTCAACAAGGAAAACATGTCTTAGGGCTTTAGCAAGCTGGAAAGTTAAAGGCAGCCTGTACACAGGCCGCTTCAGCCCTACTTCCATGCATAACAAGTAACAAGTACCCTACAGGTGAGAGGATGCAAGCAATCAGCTCTGCCCACATTTCAATCCTAAGAGAACAAACATGAAAATGGTTTAGCCACGGGGCTAGAGTGATGGCTCAGTGGTTAAGAGCGGGTTGGGTTCCCAGCACCTCCAGAGCTCACAATGGTCCAGATCCTGGAGATCCAGCACCCTCTTCTGACCTCTAGGGGCACCAGTCACGCACATATCCTTACATCATATAGGCAAAACACGCATTAAAAATAAACACACATCTTTAATAAAAAATGTTTTGGCCAACAGCACTAAAAAATAAAAAAATTCCCTCTCTGAGGCTACGGAAGCGACCCACCCTTGCCCTTAGCTCTGCTATTCTCTTCCTTCTTCAATCTGCCAGATTTATCTGTGCCCCCATGTGTAGGCAGGAAGATAAGATTATTTTCTTTGGGTACATAAAATATTCCATTCCCAGAGAGCCATGTCCTGGTTTCAGGTGTTGTCATCTTTGGCGATCACGAGCCCTGTGTCATCCTGGCAGCACTGCCAATCAGAGCACACGCGATGCCACACATCTCTCTAAGTGTACAGTACAGACACGGTTCAGTCACCTGAATCAGGAGTTTGCGGTCTTCCTCTATATTTTTGTGTGTGGTTTCTTGTTCCTGCTTCTGTTCCGTTTTCATTGGTACATTGATATTAACCCTTAATTTCTTACTGTCAAGACAACAGAGGAAATAGGTCACTGAAAAGTCTACTCCCCCTCTTTCAGCACTGGACTTTTGGCTTCCCTGGACTGGGGCAGAAGGTGGTTCACACCCATCTCTTCTGCGTCATTGCTACCAGTCACCTGGGAACTGACCCTCCACCAATGCTTTGTAACCACACAGAGCTGAGACTGAAGTGACATTCGATCCCTAACCTTGGTCAAGTTAAAAACACCAAAATAATTAGACATAAAGGTCTAAACATTATTCTTTAAGAGTCACCCAAGAAGACTTACTTTCAAAATAAAGAGAAAACCAAAACAGCATCAAACAAAGCAACACAGAGGACTGGCAGGCAGCCACCAAGCCCCAGAGTCCAGCTTCCCTGGTGTGTGCTGATCCAGAAGTATGCCCGATGCCAGGGGAGAAAATCAACAGCTATCTATTAGATTTTTCTTACTTTTTATAACCAAGGTATAACTTTATTAGGGTGTCTGGCTTCAATTCCACCTCATCAACATTTGCATTTTCATCTTCCAAGACCTAGAAAAAAATAACTGTTACTAAGCACATCCCAGGGAAAGGCTTTCTTTTAGCTTAATACAAAGTACACAAACATACCAGCAACTTTGACTTCAGTAAAATCTGTAGGACTTGTGCCAAAATGTCCTGCAATGAGACAGAAAGATGGTAAGCAAGAAGGAAGAACACTTATCTCCAGGGGCTGTTTCAGAGACTCAGCTCACTGTCTACAGGATCGGGCCTCACCCCAAAGCCGAACCCACCCAGAGAAAGTAGCATGGCTTCTTAATGAATTAGATCACCAATCATCAAAGGCATTAATAGTTTCCCATAAACACGGGACACAATTAAACCTACAGGAAGTTATTCCCTCCTTCAATGTTTGAAGGCTCACAAGAAATTTCTGTGGTGCTGGGGATCAAACCCAAGGCTTTGTGCGTGCCAGACAAGTAAGTGTTCTACCACTGAACTAAACCCATGAATGCGCAAATACAACATCAATGAGCCCCAGCAGAACCAAAGCTATACTGCATTCATGAGCATGCAGGGGTTCGGAGCCTTAGTGAATGTAGCATCATGTGACTGCTCAGCTGTAGGAGGAGCTGGTCTGGAGATTTAGAGCACCATCAGCCTCATGGGCACTTACTACTTAACCCGGACTCTTAACCGACATTAGACAGAGTTCTGCCCTCTTCATAATGGCACCCATGCTGGCCTGAGGCTATGCAGGTAGTTTTGTCAGAGAAGTGGCTGCTACAAGCTGGGGCCTGAAGGAGGGCATCGAGTCCCAAAAGGGTATTCTAACAGTACAAAAGAACAGAAAGACTGGTGTGACCTTGAGGAGAAGGCAGGCCGTGTAGAGACCAGAGAATCAGACCTATCAGCCCTTCCAACCAGTAACAAAGGATAAAAGCTTTATTAAAATAAATATGTGCACAGTGGTGCTGACACTGTAGCCATCAGTGTGACACGTGTCAACTAAAACACAAAACTAGCCTGGGCTGACAGCTTAGTTGGAGGAGCGCTTGTCCACACGCACAAGGCCCCAGACTCGACCCCCAGTGCTGCATGGAGACAGACATGGGAAGCATGAATGCCAGTAATCTGGTACTCAAGAATGTGTGGGCAGAGGCCAAAGGACATTAAATTCAAGGCTATTCTCTGTCTACTTAGTGAGTCTGGATCATCCTGGACTAAAGGAGATCCTGTCTCAAAAACCAAACCAACCCAAACCCTCAGCCAAACAAAAACTAATGTGAATGGGCAAAGTTTGAAATCGTGTGTCTGCTCCCAGCTCATGTAAAAGCTTAGCCTCGGAGCTGCAAGGATAGCTGAACCCCTGGGGCTTACTGGCCATGTGGCCTAGCCAAATGAAGAAGTTCCAGACTCAGTGAGATGCTGCCTCAAAATGATAGGGTGGAAATGGCTCAACAGCAACAGCTGCCTTCTAGCCTCCAACACACATGCACACAGTGCACACAGTGCACACACACACACACACACACACGTGCACACATGCAAACAAATAAGTACTGACACCTGCAAACCTTGTAGACAGAATATACTCAGTAAAATAAGGCAAGCACAAAAAGACACAACTTGATTCCACTTCTATGCCTGGTCCAGAAAAGAGTCCACTGAGGTTAATGGGTGTCGGGTCCCTCTCTCCCTTCTCTCCCTCTCCTCTCTCTCTCTCTCTCTCTCTCTCTCTCTCTCTCTC